GCCTATTCTCTAAAGTTGTAGAAGATTCTCGAGAGTGAGAATCAACAATATATGTAGGTACGTAAACGCTAGTGTTAGCGCTAGTACTGTTACGTAAAGCTGAAAATTCGAGAAAACCTCCACACGCCTATAAATATAACCAACGCGACGCGCCAAAAACCTATTATTAGTTTGCTATAGTCAGTGTGCTATAAACTTCTGAAGCTATAACTGTTTGTGTCATAAAAGTTTCTTTGTACACACACATACACATACAAACGTTGTATTGTAATTTGACTTTATAGCTTTTGTAGGACTTGACTGTATAAAAGTTTAAATACTCAGATTGTTTCACTATTATCTAGTGATCAGTTTATTGCGGATTTGTGTTGCTTTGAGTAGCTTTTGCTAACACTGACTTTATCGAACAATCATTCAATCATTCCCTTGAATGGTGAGATCCTGAAACATTATCTAACATTACTCAGTTGTTATAAATTGAGTATGAACAGTGTTATCAGCAAAAATAAATCTTCTTCAAACGATATTAACCATAGATATAACTTGTATCAGCGAAATGAGCCAGTAGATTGTATAGAAGTACGTTTTAGCTGCTGATAACCAACTGCACGGGTTTTTACCCAAACAAGCTATTACACCCACAAACACACACACGCGCGCGCGCGTTTTTCTGTCATCTGAATGAACAGCGCATATCACAAAGCTTATAGTGGCATCTAAGAATGCATTTCAGTTCAAAGATGACAAATCTAAAATATTTTATAAGAAGCCACATAAAAAAATGAACATTTTAGAGTTTAACACAATGTTTTGTTTGTCTGGATTACATAACAGAGCTAAAATAGATTTTGCGCAAATCTACACGAGGGCTATCTGCGCTAGCTGTCCCTAATTTAGCAGTGTAAGACTAGAGGGAAGGCAGCTAGCTAGTCATCACCACCCACCGCCAACTCTTGGGCTACTCTTTTACCAACGAATAGTGGGATTGACCATAACATTATAATGCCCCCTCGGCTGAAAGGGCGAGCATGTTTGGTGTGACGGGGATTCGAACCCGCGACCCGCAGATTGCGAATCGAGCACCCTAACCACCTGGCCATGTCGGG